CAATTAAGAACTGAAGATATCATTAGAAAATGAGCAATATGTATAGTATCAAAGCAAGAAGTCGAAAATATCACTTTTTACCAAAAATGACAAAAATATTCATCAAAATTAGAGAATTGAAGATATCATCACGAAATGAACAAATCTGAGAGAGGACCACATGTAGTACCTATATATGTAATATCAAAGCAATTGGACTTGCGGTTTCTAACAAGAAGTCAAAAATATCACTTTTTACCAAAAATATTCACCAAAATTAGAGAATTGAAGATGTACCCAAGGTACATACACACCAAGTATCAAAGCATTCAGGCTTGTAGTTTTCAAGAAGAAGTCGAAAAAGTAAAACATTGACACGGACGACGATGGACAACGATGACGGGCAATCACTCATATGATAAGCTCTGCTCGACAAAGTCGACAGCGGAGCTAAAAATATATAAAATTACAGTGGCTTAGCCAGTCTATTCTATCACCAAAACTGCATGATGACAAAAAAGTGTTTATATAAATAATATATACCCGTATCATAGCATGAACAATTTTTAAAAACATAGAAATAAAATTCATATCAAATTTCTGAAAAGATTAACATCTAGCAGCTGAAATGAGCTCAAGACTTATTTCTTCAATTACAATTGTCAGGGGTGAATCTAGACATATACCCACTTATAAACACTCATGTGGTTGTCAAATTCATCAGAATGTACCAAAAATGGTAGGAATTCTCCAGAATTCTAATGGCGTGACAAATATATCTTGGATGTTAATAGATGAGAAGAGAGTTCCCCATTCTTCTTCCCGTTTTCCATGATAGCTTTGATTTATTTACTTATAAAACATTCCTGTAATGCGATTACGTGAAGAAGTAGTCTATTGTTTTCTTGTGCTGGAAAACAACTAAAAAGTATTTCATTTCCAGTGGCAGAACTCGTCAATGACCTATGATGTCATATGAGCCATTCTGCCCATGTTACTGTCGCCTCTTTTCTCATACACATAACAAGTTGTAGTTTTTTCAAATGTTATTTTGTTATTTTGAAAAGAAACAAGCAGCCTGGCGGCTGAGATAGCTCCGCTGTTAGCAATGCACATGGCAATTAAAGAACAGAAGATATCATTAGAAAATGAACAAATCTGAGAGAGGTCCACATGTAGTACCTATATATGTAATATCAAAGCAATTGCACTTGCGGTTTTCAACAAGAAGTCGAAAATATCACTTTTTA